CCCCAAAACCCCAAAACCCCAAAACCCCAATATATTTTATATTTATTGAATACCAATCAGCTTCATTCTCTGGTCTTCTGGGATCTTGAGACATGACTCTAACTCCATCTCAAACTTGTTTCTGCCTTCAACTCTGACTTCTTTCAAGTTATTGAGCCTGATCTCGAATTCACTCAGAGCATCGACTCTTTTATTTAGAGATGTGCCTTCGGAGTCTGGAGGATTTGTAGTGTCTCCGAAAGACTTTGGCTGAGTAGTAGCGTTAAGAAGCAACTTGGAGTTGAGTAGACGCCTCTTCAGATTCATGAAATGCTTTGCTTTTCTAAAGCTTCCGTCCTTTCCTTTTATTTTTGGATTTACTCAAATCTCTAAAAAGTAAAACTTCTGAATACCAAAATTATGTTTTGCTTTAGGTCTATTATCAGGGCTGCTAAACCTTGTACTTCAATAGTGTCCAGTAGGTGTTCTGATTGGTTCATTGTTTTTATCTGAATTCCTTAGCTCAGACATCCACCTTAGGCATCCAAATTGAGTACTCTCTGATTGCATAGCATTAATTCAGTTAATTTCCTGCTGCTTTTCTACAAATTGATCTATTCTATCCATCAAAGTGGGATTGTTGTTTTCTCTTTTACACTTATTTCTGTAGAAATCTGTTGAGACTGTTCCATCTTTGGGTCTGGATTGGAAATCTCTCCAAATTTGGGTTATTATTCTCCACTTTCTGATTCATATTCCCAGACTTGGTCATCTTAGGCAACATAAGAGATTCCTTGAGCTTTCTTTGTTCATAATACTGAGCCTTGATACGCTCAAGTTGTTCTGGAAGAAACTTAGCAAAGATTCTTTTTGGCCTGTTATTTCTATTTCTGATAACTCAGCACTCTTGAGGTCTTGATATTCATATTATTAGCGATTTTAATGCTTGTATAATTACGAAGACTCCTACTTGCATTATTCCTGCTATCGGCATGGTTTTTAATGTTAGTTTTATAAAAATATTGAGGAGATCCTCATAGAGTTCTCTGTTGAGGACTCCCAGAACCGTCGTATCTCACCTGCATAGGAGCAGGGGAGCATGATTTCACATAATTCCTATTCCCAGAAAGAATGTTTGAATTTTGCTCTTGATTTACATACAGTTGGCTCTTGTTAGACTCATTAGCAGTAGCAAGATCTATAAAAGGAGATGGAGAATTTAGATCTTGGATCGTCATGTTTCTGTCACCAAGCTTGTTCCTTGAGATTACATTAAATCTAATAACTTTTCGATTATTTTCTATACACCTTTGTTAACAAATAACTTAGATTTCTAAAAAATCGGTGATGAATGAGAATTAGTTATTACTGTTATCAAATTTTTACAAAATAAAGTTATAAGTTAAAGATAATTGATTCATACTATTAGGCAGAGTTGCAGACTGCACTGGCTGTTGGAGCAACTGGCTTTCATGATCTGATTTACACAACTTGTTCTTCTTCAAGTATTTGATCATAGTAGGCATTTATATTTCAATTATATCGTCTGTAAAAGGGGTTTTGGGGTTTTGGGGTTTTGGGGTTTTGGGG